GGAGAGCTCTCTCGAAGCAGCGGAAGGCGGCACACCAGGAAGCCCATTAATCGCGCGTGGGAAGCGTCGATCGAGCACGGTCGCTGAGATGAAGAGTGAGATACACTCAATGGGTTCCAAGGACGTGGTCTGGAGGTAGATCTCTTCTTCTTCTGCGTGGGTCGTCAGAAGACAGGCCGCGTGGAAAAGCCGAGTGCGACATGCCCCGGAGTGGCATGGCTAGACTTTTCGAGCTAATGCGGGGTAAGCAGCGCGGGGTAACAAGCTCACCGGTGTCGGTGCCATCGCGACGACGCGACAGCAAGGCATCCCATCACATCGGGGAACAAGCCGCGTGTCGGCGCGCAGGCCGTGGGAACAGCGGACTAGTGGCTGGGAAGAACAGGGTGCAAACGGCTATGATCCGGACACGCAGGATGGTGGGCAGCTGTCAGAAGCGCAGCAAAGGGCGGGAAGCAGAAAACACGAGTGTCACAAGAGAGCCGGAGGCTATGAGGGTCGCTACTCGCGTGTCAGCGAGACCTACTGCCACGAGCAAACCTGACGGAACAGTCGGTTACTGTACGCGGCGTCCTGTGGTCTCCTAGCTGGAGCGGTGTGGCAACCGGTCGCCACGAAGAAGCGCAGGGGTTTGAACAAAATAGTGGAAATGATCCGGTTTGATTTTGTACAGGAGACGAGACCCCAGAAACTCCATACCGCTCAACGATGCTCGAGGTAGATCACAGGCGACCCTACACTTATAGCAGAAGTCGCAGAGAGATTATGTCCATGTTGTATTTGCCTGCGCCTTTGCACGTATATGATGCCTTCACTTCGGAAATCCGAGCTGATACGATGGCCTCCGCGGAAGCGCTGGAGAGTCAGGGGTCCAGACAGAACTCCAACGACTGACGAACGGAAATGTAATAAGCCTCCGCAGGCATGCACAGAAGCGACATAGCTGGTAAACTAAACAGCAAACAGACGTCATCAGGGGGTTTAAGAGGCGAGAGGCGGCGTCCGACAGAAAGAATATTTCGGGACAAAGAATCTTGTGATTTTGATTTCTATCAACAAAATCGAATCGGGCGGCTCAAGGCGACGAGGACGGAACATGAGCAAGACGCACAGGTTGGTGAGATCCGAAGTCAAGCACGTTTGAGGCCCTGAGAGTGGAAGCAGCGGACGGAGCCGCAGCAAGGAACTCGAAAGAGAGCGACAGATAGCACGTTGACTCGGATTCCTGCATGCTGTGCCCAGGGACAGAAATCAAGATTCAGGAGTAAAGTAGAGAATGCGGGTGCACTTCGGGGCAACAGACCGTATGGAACGCAGAGAGATACAGAAAGCGAGAACCTGGGCGTGGTTGTTTTGTTTTCTCAAGATCGATGGTCGACGGCGTTCTGGTCGCCGAGGTCGAGGACGTGCTCGTCGATGTGAGCGCTGTCTGGATCCGGCAAGGGCGGTGCGCGCGATGGCAACATGCACCGTGACACCGGACGGAGAGAGCGCGATGGCCGAGCGGCAGAGGCCTCCGAGCCAATGGGCGGGCGTGGGCGGGGACAACCGAAGCCACGATGGCGGGGATCACGTGCGCCGGCTCGGAAGGACGCGGACAGGCCTTCCGCAGAAATTGTTGAGACGAAAAACGAGGAGGGCTCCACCGGATTTGGATCCATCTCCTCGTCTTTCCACCCCTCGACATCGCTCTCGTCTTCACCCTGTCCATCCATGTCGCTCTCGACGCACCTCTAGTCGTCGTCAACAACGCACTAAACGCTTGCTCCGAGCTTGTAGCGCTTTGACGCCTGCCAGGGTCTCACTGTCACAGCCTGGAGTTTCCCGTCCCCGTCTAGGCTTTGCCTGCTTTCGGTCACCGCACGTCCAGGAGCATCACCGCCTGACCTTCCCTCCTGCCGCCTCTTCTTCACCTCACTTTTTTGCTCCTCTTAAACACCCCAGATATTTGCCCGCGGGGCGTCTCCACACATTTGTTGCCCTCTCTGCTCTCGCTGGTCGCCTCCATGATGCCTGTACCAGCAACCCTCAACAGCTATCTTCCTGTGCTACTAAATTCCGTCACGAACCACCCCCTCCCCGACGACTCATCTTACTCAATACAGGCCGAAGGTCAAGTCGATTACCTCTCGCACGAATGGCGCGAAGAAGACGTCTGGCGGTCATGGCGCAGCATGACCCGTCAGAAGAACGCCATCGCCAACGGCATGCGTCTGGAGAACGCAAGTTGGCGGACATGGTGGAAGCAGAGGAATAAGCTGAAGACAATCAGTCCAGAGACACTCAACTGGTACGCTTTCGTTTCCTATCCTTTAATCTCCATGCGCTGCGGGCACTGCTGATGCCCCGCATTTGATGACGACGCCATCCATCACCGTTGTTTTATTGGCTGTCGTTGTGCTCACACTCGCCACAGGTTGAAAGACTCGGACGTAACTTGGCTCTATGGTCCTCTGCACATCGGCTCGGACTGGAGCAAGCCCCCTCATCAAGAGCCACCGCCATCACCGAATGCCCACAGGCAGAACAGCCTCGATTGCGTCGGCCAATCAAGAGCTGCGACGCCGTCAGGCAAGAAGCCCATTCTCAAACGCCGTAGCATAAGTCAACTTCTCTCACTACCGCAAAGTCCATTCTTCAGTCAAGATGGTGGCGAAGACACCGACGAGGAAGATGGGCACCACGGTAGTGATGACGAGGAGACGTCGCGGCCACCGCTGTTGCACACCAAGAGTGACACGCATATAAGCTGGCGGTCTCGCCCCTTCCGCAAGAATTCGCCACCTCGCATCATTGCTCCAGACCATTCTCCAACAGACAGCTACTTCCCGAACGCTTCTGGCACTAACTCGAGCGACACTTCTAACACCACAGGAAGCTCTCAAGATCTGAGCGTAGCGTCTACCTCCGGTGCGGAGGGGTCCGGGCATGGGAAGAAGAAGCATATTAGTTTCAATACCTTTGTCGAGCAGTACATAGCCATCGAGAAGCCCGACAAGCGGAAAGGGGAGCACTTTTACACGGACCCTGTGTACGACGACGGGTCAGTCCCTATTTTTTGGGTCTTGAATTGCACTACACTAATCATCCAACTTGCCCTCGGTAGATACGACGAGGAATCTGAAAGGGGCGAGGAGGAGGAATCGGATGATTCCACCCCGTTCTTCATGGAGGAGGCCTCGGCTCTGATGTCGGATTCCGAAGACGAAGACGAAGACGACGTCCTCGAGATGCGCTCAAGTCGCTCTCGTTCATCGTCCTCGTCGTCAAGATCAATACCGTCAGCTATGCGCACAACAAGTCCGCCTTCGGCAGGATCTTCCCACCGCCCGCCTCTCGTACGACAATCGTCAACAGACCGGGACCGCATGACTATTGCGCCTATCGCTCCTGCCATGTTGAAGTCCACCGGCGTGGGTAACCAAACCGTCGCGATTGGCGAAGATAGGCTCATGCCCCAGAAGGAGGTTGAACTCGTTTACGTGCCGCCATCAAACAGCATATACAGTCACCCCGGCACACCGAATATGGCCGCCGAGGACGTGTTTCACCATCGCGAGTCATACTTCAGTGTTGGCACGGATCGGTCTCCTATCCAGTCTCGATCCGCCGATTCCTCCCCCATTACGGTCTCATTCAGTCTCCCGCACTCGAGCCGTCAGTCGTCCCAGAGCAATCTACAGCAATTCTTCGTGCACCAACAGCCTGTGTATGAATCACCCATGCACGCAGACGATATCCGCGAAGAGGATGCGTACGATTACTTTGGTGGGTCCGACTTCGGCGAGGAGTACATCATACGTCGGTCGCAGGGGTCCGGGATGAGACATAATTCGTCGGATATGCGCACCGACGACCCCGGAGGACAGGGCCAGACCAGGTACACTCAGAGTGGTGTCACCAGCACCTCTGCCGGGCGGATCAACGACCGCTGGTCGTCTCCGATATCTGCAAGCCCTAGGATTGTGGTCAACGAGGTCGCTGGTGCTGAAGAGGAACGGGAAGAGCTGACAACCAGCAGCGATTCTCCACGGGAAACGACTCGGGAGCTACTCATCCCACGGAAATCGGATACACGGATAGAAGACGATATCCCACTGGCCGTGTCATACATCGACCAGGGCTCTGCCGTACCCGTCCCCGTACCAAAGATTGCCACACAGTCAACGTCGAACGCGTCTCCCGAACGAGGTTTCCTCTCACCATCAGAGGCCTCCGTCCCTACTCGTGGCCGCTCGCCAGGGTGCTCGCCTGTGAGCGGCTCGACGACGACCGGTTCATACTCGTACTCAAGCGATTCCAGGTCTGAGTCCCGCGGCCGGTCGTCGACCCGGAACTCGTCGTACTCGGACCGGGAGCGGTCGTCGAGCAAGGGCACGCATTCGCCCATCGGCAGCATCTCGCCGACAGGCTCGGCGGTTGGTGTCGGTGTGGGATATGCAGCGGGTAGGGGCAGAGATAGCAAGACGAGCGCGCGGATGTACCGCCGGGACGAGGAAAGGGGCCGAGACCGGACTGGAAGGAAGATAGGCGACAGTCTCAGTCCGCCCAGCATCATCAGTTCGCCCTCGAGAAGTATCAGCGACGATTTCCCGCCGTACTCGCCCCTCCTGGAGAAGAGCGACATCTCCGCTTCTACCGGCTCAGTCAGTGGTTCTTCAGTGTCTGGATCGTCGACGGCTAGCGTTGCAACCGAAGCTACGATCGCTCCGCCTAAAGCCGGCGGCCAAGAATCAGAACCTCAGGGCCATCGCGGCAAGTTCAACTCATACAAGCCTTCGCATATTCCGATACCATCGCCGATACCCGAGGAGGAAGAGACGAGATCTCGCCAGCCCACGCCTGCCAACTCGCCTGTTCGTGCCTTCTCGTCCTCCGCACATACATCCTCGCCAACACCCGGTTCTCCCCTCACGGCCACCCCGTCGCCCAAGTCCCGCCCGTCCGCGCCAGTGACATCTCCGTCGGAAGCACAAGCAACACCTAGCTCGCCTACGCTCCCCGTCTCCCAATCGCGTATTCGCAGTCCAGAACGCGATAAACGCGGGGACGGCCAGGAGCATGGCACGCTGGTGGGACGCGCGGCCGAGATTGTGTCATCAGCGCGGGGGCTGCTGGGTGCGATATGGAACGCCGTATGATCGTGTGTTCGCCCGCTGTATCGCCAGTGCCTCTCCCTATCTCATCCTCATTCATCCTCGTTTCGCTCACTGTACATCAGTCCCCCAGAGGGTTCCCGACGTGATTGTCATTGCAAGCTCATGCGCAAACTAGGGTTTCTACTGCATCGCAACTCCGTCCGTCCGTCCGTCCCCCAGCTTGGAGATCTCTCCACGTTTACTTTATTCGTCATGCATCGTCTCCGTGTTGTTTATTGTGTCACCCACTCGTCCCCCTCCGCATTCCCCCTCCACATCCACACGTCGCTTCGCTTTCCTCGGTGCTCCCTGATTTATTTCCTTGTAGTCGTATACTTACCATCTTGGCCTTAATGCGGTAGTACATAGTATCCTCTTGGGTTTGATGTCTCCTTCTCGCAATGAGGTTTTCTCCTCTCACGGTACTTGAGCCTTAATATGCCGCCCCTCGGACGAAGGGTATAACTTACGGATTTGGACCTTACGCAGCAACGTACGAGCTTCTTCATTCCTTCGCATGTAGCTCTCTAGCACAGCAGTCCGTAGATGTACATACTGTACAATGTATCTGTCATGAACTGAGCTGAACTGCACGGACGGAGGAACCTCTGAGCAGGGAGGGGAAGGCGTCGCATCGGCATACGTGACCATGTGACCCGACGTCACCGCGCTGCCTGCGTCCGGGTCCGGCACCGCATTTACTTTGCTCGCCTACCACGTCCTCCGTGCTGGTCAACAATATTCACTTCCGATATTGTTATGACCTCAGAAGCCGAACATAATCTGGTGGACACCCAAGATTTTCTCTCGAAGCTACAGATTTCCTCGTCTGCCGCTGCACATGATCCCGAGCTCGATCCATGGCAGGACACGCCGGCAGTCGCAGATGACCTCGAGGCGACACAGCATGAGCCAGCGCATACACGGACGCTAGAAGACGTATCAGTCTTGGACCCAACCACGGCACAGGGGCTCGCTGCCGAAGCTCACACAGGACTTGGGCCCGCAAAGCCTGAGGCGAGCGCGGACATCCTGCAGGAGTTCGACCCGCTCGCCAGTCACGAGGAGAAGGCCGCAAAGGAAGCATGGGAGAGCTCCGAGTCGCATCCACCACCATTACCACCATCACCGCCGCCTCCTGCGTCCCGGCCAGCAGCACTCGATGCCGCGCAGGCTGCACCCGACGAGCAGCAGAGGCCGCCTGTGAAGCTCGAGGACGATCCGCCCGCACGCTCAACGTCCCCGCTGTCCTCGTTCCCGTCGCTCGCGGCCCTCGCACGGACGTTCGCGCTCCCACTCGCCGGCTCACGTCCGCGTCCGCGCTCGCTCGACACCGCCGCGGCCGTGCCGTCGCCCGCGACGCTCTCGTCCTTCGCGGCACAGCAGCAACAGACCCCTGCCGCTGCGCCTTCGCCGCCCCAGAGTGGGCGGAGTACCCCTGCGGGAGGGACGGGACGTGCGCCCCACGACGCCGACCCGCCACAGTTCGACTTCCAGCGGTTCCTGGACCAGCTCAAGGGGGCGGAGCCTGTAGCTAAATACCTGCGCTCGTATGTGTCCTGCGTGTTCACTGTCTCTGTGATGTCCTTGTCGAATGAAGATATGTTCTTCTCTTCTTGCGTTGTAGGTTCTTGGGCAACTTCACCAAGCGGACGTTCACGGTGAACGATCAGGTGAAGCTGATCAACGAGTTCTTAAATGTGAGTGCAGGCTTGTTAGGACCAGAGGCTGAGCTGACTATGAGGAAGTAGTTCATCTCGGGCAAGATGCGGGAGGCAGACGTTTGGCGCAACGTTTCGGAAGCAGAGTTTGACAATGCGATGGAGGGCATGGAGAAGCTCGTTATGAACCGCTTATATGACTAGTAAGCATCGCATATATGCGGTCCTCTATTGAGCATATTGTAACGATTACGCAGCACATTCACGCCACAAGTAGCGCGGATGATCCCTCCTCGGCCAATAACCTCGGACGACCTTGAACGCGATCGTGTACTCTCGCAGCGGATAGCGCTGTTCGGATGGGTAGAACCACATCACCTTGACATCCCGGAAGGATCTGGCTTTGAAGGTTTCCTCATGTTCGCCCAGCAAGGTCAGTCCGCCGATCAAGACTTCAGCGGTTTGTACTAATTAATGCACTATACAGAACTGTTGAAGATCAACCACTACAAAGCGCCGCGGGATAAACTTATCTGTATTCTGAACTCCTGCAAGGTCATATTTGGTCCGCCATCGCACGTATAACTTGCCGGCTCGAACTGACGCACAGGTCGTCTCCGCCTGTCATGTCTACAGGTCTA